AGATGAAACCATGCTGATGACCTGAGTCTGTGGTGGAGTAGTGAAGGAGTAGAAGGCTTGCCTTGCCTTGCCTTGCGGCGGTTTATTTGAATAAGTTTGAACGCTACAATCCGAACCTTGGTGTGCACCAAACAAGCGCTTCCAAACCCACTCTGGTGCACTTAGACTGAAATATGAACACAACATGGATGAAAGATATCTAAACGAACCAAAAACAAGACGTGATGTCTCAAGATGCGACCCTAAAAAGGACAGAATGCTCAAGCCTATACCTGGTTCTTCTACGTTTCCCATTACAGTTCGGTACAGGAGTCAGAACCACAGTCTCCTTGCAGCAGATCTTTGTGGGATCACAACAGGTAAAAACACCATCATATACACACATACAATAGATGTGTTTCCACTGTCAGGCCAAAAGCGAGTGTGCTAGTGCGTGCCAGGGCCAGTCGCGTTTCCACTGTCACTTCCAGGGCTTGATCAGGCCTCATCAGAGCTTCCTCTGGGCCAACAACCAGGGGTTTTTGACCCGCTAGCTAACTTGGTCCAAAGCGGGCCAACTGGGGCTTGAGGAGTGGTCTTAAAAAATGTGGAGTTTACCTAAGACAGGAGAGAGTCACTGCTGCTCATTTCCTATGTTATCATATCAGGCTACTAAGCTCAACATTTAAGACATTAGACACCAGCAAGTGTTTGAAATAACTTCCTATTGAGATCCAATGGGGATTCTGATTACATTAGGCAGAAATATATTTATGCAATGCTTAAGGCTACTTATGCTAACCATTGCCATAATAAATACATTGAAAATACCTGCTTGAAGAACGCAGCCAAATCATATATGATTATAATCGTGTATTTATTTGGTTTCACTTTCATCTGTCTCTTCCCAGTGCCTTTTTTGATACCCGACTAATGCATCCGCATATGTCATAAATGACACATACTCCGGTTAACTCATATAACTCCTGTTTCCTGTCCTTGAGCTCCCATCTGTTGCTCTGGCTGAAAGAATACCAGTATAGCGAGATGAGAGAGATCGTTCAAACCTCATCAGATCACATAATTGCTTGGAAAATTTATAGAAATGCTCACTCTTTCTAAAGACATAACGTAGAATCAATATTTCTCCTGACACAAATTAATGAATTACTGTCAGTCACTGTAAAAATCTTTATTGTAAAACATTGGTCAAATAGCCTATCGATGCTGGAATCTTAAGTTTTTATGTAAAGACCAAAGGTTTTCTTATGACATGCTTATTTTGCGATCTAGCTTTTTTTCAGTCAGCTGGTGAAAGGGGTGGGGTTGAGTGATGTCGTTCTTTGGAGGCGTGTTGAGAGCTGGTTTTAGGGTAGCTACTGGCCCGACGGTGGAAACACAGCTTGATTTTGGCCTTCGAGGTCAGAGGCTATTGGCTACTATGCCTGGCACGTTGTTAGCCCTGGCTTGCTCTGGCCCAACAGTGGAAAAATGAGCACATTTACCCAGCACACAGCATAGTTTTGGATGTTTGATAAGTTCCATCAAAACAGTTGCTGCCTTAATGATGCAAATGCACAGTTCGGAATCAAACAATACAGTGTGAACACAATTCAGCGGGGCAGGTGGAGGGGGAGCAGTTGGTCTCTGGTTTGGACCAGGTAATGAAACCATGTCTGAAAGCACCCTCAAACATTGGTGCATAACTGATCCCTCACTGTAAGTGCATCAAACATGAATACTGTAATACCTCAAATTGTGTAGCTTGCGGTATGTTGTTACATTTCTAAGTGACCAGTGACTAGACTTCGATTTTCATCTGGTAGACAATAAAATGAGAAAAAATTCCTACATTGAAGGCGTATTTTTACAATTAAGACTGAATTTTACAATTAAGAATATAATTGAGACTGGAAAGGGGCTCTAATGAGATTCTTATGACAAACATTCTAAGGGCCGGATCACACAGAACATTGCGGTTAAAAATGCGAGACGCAGGGCAGTGGAACTAAAAAAACGTATTTTTTAAAAGTTGAACTTCTTTTGCCGCATTTTTAGAATGCTGTGTCATACGCGAGACGCTTCAAAAGATGCGAGACGCGAGCGCAACGGTCAAACGAGTCCATCTAGCATGTGCTTACATTGAAGAACTATGGAAAAATAGTGCAGTGCACCACTCAAATATGCGTTTTGTGTAAATGGCCTCAAAGATTCCACCAGTATACCTCAGAATTATCCAAAAAAATAGTGTGTTTTCACACTTGTAGTTCGGTTTGCTTGGTTAGTTTGGTCGGGACCCCAAAAAAAACATTTAGTCATTAAAAATGTACTAAAATTGAGTTACAGGTCACCTGGTCGATCATTCTTTAAAGAAGGCACTGTATGTTTGGATAGAAGACAAGACAGAGTTCTTTATTAAACTCATAAAAGACAAAAGTATCACAGGAATACTGGATTCTAAACAACAAAGAAACTCCTCATACTGGCCACTCTCAAGTATAAGGGTCTTTCCTCGCTATTAATGCTCGGATAACACGCCTACGTCTCCTTCGATTTAAAATAATGGCTAGTGCGGTGGCTGGGATATTCATAAACCTACCAACATCTGTTGCCATGATTTTTGAAATGCATGTTTATGGTGAGAGGAAAAAATGACATTTTAGTCTCCTAACATTGGTTAATGGAAACGCCGTCATTTCGCAATAGTTTTTTATCGACATTTAGAAAATATCGCTAAAGTTTTGCGCAAATCATATGCTTATGACGCTTGATCATTCTGTCCTTTTTAGGGTCGCATCTGACATCATGTTTACATGTCGTTGGTCCTTGTTGTGTTCATATTTTATTTGAAAATTCCAGAGTTAATTGACTTGCTTGGTGCGCACCAGGGTTCAGATGGCAGCATTCACACTTATTCAAATGAACCACCCTACCAGAGCAATCGCACACCCTTAAAACACCCTATTCCATTGCAGCAGCAAGTTTTGAACCGGACAGGCACCACTCAAATTTTTCTATTTATTTCCCTTTTAAAAAGATTATATTCATGTTGAGATATTCTAAATAGCATGATTAGTTCAAAAGGTGAGCTGAACACTCACTGACTTCCTCCATTTGGTTGGTGCCCAAGAGCAAGTGCTGTGAGAATGGGTAATCTGAGGCAGCGGCGGAACTGGCTGTTTGCTGACACCATCTACCAAAGCGTGCTCTTTACAATAGCACATAGAGGCCCTGTCAGTCAACATGGTGTGAAGAATGCAGTGAAACTGAAGAATCTCCAGCCTGTGCATTCCAGCCCTACTGCAAACACCACATACTTGTATTTAAACGTTGTGCGAGTAAGGAAAGAATCCTTACAGCTCACCCCATTACCCTAAACCACACACAAATAGGCATGCATACACAGTGACAGAATATGGAACAGTACATCTCCATGCATCGTCTGATTTATTGTAATAATACAGTCTCAAATGTCTTCGTATGAGAGTGCCTCACTACTTTATAATAATACAGTGCACTCAGCAAAGGATGTTGTTTGTTTCTCATGGTGTCTATTCTGAGCTTGTGCTTTTTTCTGATCTGACTGACTGTGGACCCCATACTGCTTTAGATGAATTCTGAGACTTTGGACTGCGCAAACTATTGCTGAATGGACCAACATCAACATATATACTTTAAAGTTTGTGTATTGTCCTAGGACACGATAACATGTGGCATGAAAGTATCACAGGGAAATGCAGTTTACAAGCCTTTAGAAAACATTGATGTTGGATTTAAACCATCATAGGTTATTAACTTGGACCCTTACTCACTTCAAAACTGCGTGTTTTTGATTTATGACAACATGAATTCAAGTATTGATGAAAGTGTGATTGATTTCACTAGTGACAGTAATGTTTTGGTAGCGACCACATCACATTACAGAATTTTAACTCGCATATTAAAACACTACTAAAACATACTAAAATACTAAAGATTTGCATAACTGTACTAAAATTTTGTCTTTTTCCCCCAAATAAATGATTATGTGTTCCTTTTGTCATTACCAAAACAATGATGACATGTTTCGCTTATGACTGTTTCGGTAGTGACAATTTTAGATACTTTTGAGCCTAGTTCAAAGATGATAGCCAGCACATGGTTAACCAGCACAGTTCTGAACAGTTGTACACACACAAAAACTAAATTTTATTGAATAACACCCAAAAAAAGTTTGCTTAATTGCAGAAAAAAGGTATTTGGTAGTGATGTTCCTTAAAGTTACACACAGATTTTCAGACTTTTGAACACATTTCCCTCAAAATTATGGGCCCTATCTATAATGAAAGAGAGGCTACAGTATGTGGGACACATTTATTTTACATAAAGTTTCATGATTTAAAAATAAAACATAAAATAAATGTTTTTTTTTTTTTTACTTCACTTTTTAAAAGAAATCAAAAATATATTTTTTAAAAACAACAATGGAATAAAAAAAAAACATTTCAATATAATTTTCACAAGTTGAAATTTAGGGGTTAGGGTTCGGGACAGCCACCTCCCAATTGAAAGTACCCAATAATTGATGATTTTATATATATAAAGCTTACTGATATTTTAAATATTATTGTGTGATCCAATAGATAATAGAAGGATCTTTGTAAACATCTAAAATTTGAATGCTTTTTGAATGTGTTTTTTGGTTGTGGGACAGCAGCTTGCACCAATTCTGTAGAATGGCTCATATAGCAAAACTAAATTTGAGGATTAGGTAGAAATAGCTCCTTAACATAACATTTGCAGGGGACCATTTTTTCATTGTATGTTTAGCAGTTTTTGTCGAATATGGCTCTAAACATAATAGAGTTACTGATTTAGTATGGAAAGTGAAATAAAGTGTGAGATGTGAGTCCATGGAGGGGAGGGCAGTGGGAGGACAGTACATGAGCAAGGCTTCAGGAGGAGGAGGAGATTTAAATGATCAACTTGTTGAAAGGTAGTCAGGGCGCTCATGTGGAAGTGTGCCACTCTATTTGGGAAATGCGCGAGCAGGAATCTTGCACTAGGAAACAGATGCTGGATTTCAAGTGGCGCGTGAGGACGATTAATACTTCCAACTGTAATTTTAAAAAGCACGGGTTATTTTAAACATTTTACCGCTGGTATTCGCTTACATCTACTCGAGGTGATATAGATTGGATGCAATTAAGTGACGTATCACTACTGATTTTTTTTATGGAACCAAAAAGATAAGATAAAATATTGCTAATATATTTAGCGCATTGGACGCTTTGAGAAAGCTGAGCACACTTTACTGCCGACGAGGAAGGCACGAGCTGGCCATCCAGAACTGTTTGTGGAATATATGTTGAAATTTCCGTATTGACATTACTATTTGGATGGACTACTGTTTGGATTTTTCTACGACTAGACTTGCCCTGGCATTCGAGATGAGTTATTTGACGTCACTGTTACAAATAGTTGCTGCGGTCCAGATGAACCTTTTACCTGCACAGGTGAGCATAAGTTTTTTTTTTTTTGTACAGTTAACCTGCATAAATTATAAACCATTGGCTACGCTGCAAGCGAGCGATGTCACGCTACTATGCACCCTATTTTAATCTATGGAGCGTTGATCGTAGCGTTCTATAGGCTATAGTTTTGCCGCGTATCACGCAAGATCGCGTTCGTGCGATTTGAAAAGTATGCACATCTTTTCATTGTTGGTCTCGATATCTAATTAAAAGTAATTCAGCTGTAAAAAGTTAAAGAAACCCCCTTTTCTATTCCGTTGCGATGTATAAGAACGTGTCCAGTGTGAATGGCCCTTAAGACTACATTGGGTGTGAGAATATTAACTTGAATGTTTAAACGCTCCGTAAATGTATGGCTGTTAGCTTACGTGTCCAGAACAGAGATACTAAATTGATAGTCTTCCTTTCTAAAGTATGAATGAATTAAAAAGAGGATCAGGAGGATTTGAACGTGTCTACGTGCAGCTGACAGGCAAAAACCTGACTGAATGAATGAGTCAGTTTACTTTTGACACGGCTCCCAGTAAAGCCTCGCAGACGGCTGTTTTTATAACACCCTCTATAACTTGATCCCTTTTTGAAGTGCTGCAAGAGAAAGCGTTGAGTCATGAAACGAAACGTGACGAACTGCATCACCCCTCTCTAACTAACACACAGGCGTGTGTGACACACTGACTCGCCTTACTTAGTAGGCTAGTGATGAATGGATGACAAAATCATCAAATTAGACAGTCAGACAATATATTTATATGCTTTCTATTGTTGTCAAAGATAATGAGAGACTAATTGGGCAATATTATGTCGTCAGAACTAGCATGTGCTCTTAAAGGGATAGTTGTAAATACTTACCTTCATGTTGTTCCAAACCTTTATGAATTTCTTTCTTCTGTTAAACAGAAAAGAAGATATTTTGAAGAATGTTGGAAACAAAACAGTTGTGGGGCACCATTGACTTCCATAGTATTTTTTTATGGAAGTCAATGGCTACCGTCAACTGTCTGGTTACCAACATTCTTCAAAATAACTTATTTTTAGTTCAACAGAAGACAGAAACTCATACAGGTTTGGAACAACATAAGGGTGAGTAAATGATAACTGAATTTTAACTTCTGGGTGAACTATCCCTTTTAACTACTAAGATATAAAAGAAAAATTACATACGGTATATTTCCATTCGAAACTATTTGAAATGCCAAGTTTCACAATGTTGAATAAAAAGATAATTGTCCCACATCTCAAGGTAAAATATCGCACCTCACGTTATGTGAGCTGGCTAATTCAAGTCCTGGCTGTAAGGAGAAATGTTGGCAGGAGAGTCTACCTCAACTTTCTTATCTATTCCTTCTCTTCATGCTTTGAACAAATGTGTTCGAGGACATGCACAAATGGGCTTATGCACCTGTTAGTCATGTGTGTATTAGCCACACACTGTTAGTTAGACGACCACACTTCATATTTGGAAGGCCCTCAACCTAATGCTAGACAGTTTTTATTACCGGTACTCAAGTAGTTATTTGGGTCAAAGCAGATTAAAATGGCTGTATAACCTACATCCACACTGCAACTGAAGCTTTCATCTGATTATTAAACTTTATATCAATCTTTCATATCATGTTCATCATTTCAGAGAATGGTAAGGGAATGTTTGCTGCAAATCTAGTATTGTCTAGTTACAGAAGCTTAAAATGAGCAGTGACAAACATTAAACGAGTGAAAAGTGTATGTTCTTTTGTCATTCGATATTAATCCTGCTAGTGGCAGGTTAAAACAAAGTTTATTAGGCGTAGTAAAACCAAAAACCACACACTTCTACCGGACCTCACAAATGACTTAACGCCTCCATTCATTTTTCCCAAATACACTAATGCCGTCTCTCATATCACTGGCCGTGCACCAGGTGTGGGTGTGTCTCTGTCTTCTCTTGTCCCTCTCTCTTGTGCTTGCGTCAAAACTTAGTTATATCAGGAGTTACAGGAAGTTCCCAAACAGTCACCGTGACTTTGCCAAGTAAGACATGTTCTTGATCAACATATGTTGTTGATCCTGGAACAACATTCCAGTCAAAAATTTTGTCCTACCCCTAAACTTATAACTTATCCCAAACATATAAAATGATAGGATAATACTGATGTAGAAACTCCTAACCCAGGATGTAAGCATAATCTTGACATAAACTGTAAACTGTAAACCTTAAATCTGATTGGTTGATTGTAATGTTGTTCCAGGATCAACAAAGACGTTGATCCAGGAACATGTTATACTTGAGGAAATGACGTTCACCATTGGGGAAACACCTGCAGTTACTATTGCTGGTGATTTTTTTTTTTAAAGGGAAGGTTAAACACTTCTATTTAGCACTTCTTCTAAATGAATGGACATCTTTCCATTTAAATAAGTATCATTAATTTGACATGGCACCATTTTCTCGCCAACCTTTTTAAAATTAAGATGTGAACACTTCCATTTATTCAAGCTGTAGAGAGCATTTTGCTACTACTTTGATGGTTGATAGCTTGATGGTTACACCACATATTGAAACATATAATTAACAAAGTTCAGGAGGAGCAGCACGTTCAGATAATTGAAACAATCAGCATTAGAGGAGGCTTATAGAGCCGACTTACCTCTGTTACCTCCTCCACCCCAACTCCTCACTTTCGATTATTCCGATCCCAGCCAGGGATTAAGGGGAGAGTGCTCTGGGTTTGGGCCAAATTCTGAGCTCAGAGACCTCTCCTTGGACAGCACGCCTAATACATATATTTTCTGACTATATCTGAGCGTGAACTTGTGAAATCACATTTTATTGGCCCCTAACCCTCTGGTGCTCTTCGGTCATTTTTGTCCACAAAACGTTTCATTTTGTTGTTTTTTATATAATTTTTTACTTCAACGGAATGGTACGAAACTTGGTAAAGGTTTTGGCACTTGCTATGTGAACACAAACAAACACACACACACACACACACACACACACACACACACACACACACACACACACACACACACACACTCACACACTCACACACTCACACACTCACACACTCACACACTCACACACTCACACACACACACTCACACAAAAAAATCACGGACATGATTCGAAAAGGTTAAATGGTCCTGAAAAAAGTCACACTTGTATATTTCAAGGCCAAAAATGACCGCATTGGAAATGATTGGGAAACTAATTTCTTCTAATGGAAACTGCGCCCAAACAAAATCTCACTGAAAGCTATTTTTTTTATATATCAACCTCAATTTTGAAACAAAACTTGTTTAGATTTATGGCTTTGATTTTCTTGCAGATTTAAAGTAAAACATGTTTTGGAAAATATAAACTTCATATAAAAATTAAAAATAGTATTTTTGTGCAGTTTTCATAACAATAAACATTAAAAAAAAATTAAGTTCCATTTTCAAAACTTTTTTCACTTCAGCAAATATTCTGCTACGTGTTATCTATTAGAGACCAAACTTAAGTATGTGCTCCTAAAGCATTACATATTTATGACAGTTTAGGTTGGAAAGATCATTTTCAAGTCAATGCTCAAAAAGTGAAAAGATTTATTATAACTGCATAAATACAATTTAGTACCGTACAATTCCCTAAAAATACAAAATATTAAATAAAAAACATTACAGAAATAAAATATAGTACATTCATTTCATTGAAATAAAAATAATCGTCAATTTTTGACTGCCATGTGAAAAGCACCAGAGGGTTAAATAGGATCTTTTCTTGAAAACCGCATTAAAGTTTGTCCTTGACCCTAATACTTTTCCACCTTCCTTGAAGGCATTGACTGTGTTGTTTTTGCAAATGAATGGATATTCACATTGCTTTTATACAATGTGTTCATGTCCTGTTCTCTGTTTCTGGAGGATCTGTTTGAAGCAATCTTGTAATGGTCACTTGTATAAGGAAGAGAGTTGCTGTATGATTCCCAGTGTTGGACAATCATCTCACAGATGGTTTCTTTGAACTTGAGTAAAACCTATCAGGAAATGTAAGTGTTTGTGTGACAGAGGTTAAAATACACACAGCATATATCAGTTCAGTATATGGGTATTACATGGGAGATGACTGCATGATGTGAATACAATAGTTGAAAGAAGTTTGATTTCATACATTGTTGTATTACACAATGTGTGATACTGAAATTAAAATCCAGGCTTACCACATGGGGCGCTGTAGCAGGTAATAGCATAAGCTGTTTTCTTTTATGGGCTGTCACAGCAACAGATTTTTTACATGAGTTTCGTAATCAAAGGAATTCCTAATATAATAAAAATATTATCTCAATTATAGAAATTTTGAAAGAAAATAAAATCAATAAAGCTATCAGCCAAAAGTGTGCCACAGAAGTCCTGAAAAGGGAAGCCGAAGCATTTTGATCGCCCCCTGGCTGCAGTATAGGTCATAAACCCCAACTTCTCCATGTAATCGAATGGGACGCGGGCCAAACTAGAAAATCCAATTATACTTCAAATAATTTATTTCCAAAGATCGTTTCTGTCATTTTGGGTTCTTATCACACAGACGTATGTTCAAGGGTTAATTTTTCCAGTAAGTTTGGTTTTAGTTAGTTATTTGATTCTATAAAAATGGGGTGTAACGTCATGATTGACAGCTGTGCTTGTGGATGAGACTCGGGCTCCGCATGATGTAATAGGCAACAATAATTTCGGGGATATTTTGGCTTAATTTTTCGACAGTGGGGGGAAGAAGCATAGGTATCCATAATAAAGGCTAGATGTCTTACGGCGGAGTCTCTATCGTCATCACCGTCGGCCATCTTGTCACAGGCAAGCTTTCTGGCGGGCTCTGTGGTACCTGATGTAAGATGAGTGATCAGCACGAACACAAATACTCTTATCTCGTTGAAATCTTGACGGATTTACAAACGGTTTGGTTTCTTACAAACGTTATTAACGTGGCTATAATTCTGGATGATTATTTATTTTATACACTTACTATTCAT